AAAATCCTTGCTGAGACCTGGCTTTTGATCTGTTAACGTCATCTGAAGAATTTTGATTGGTTGCAAATTGGAATTTAATGCATTCTCTTGTCATTATTTGTACGTGTTTCAATAAGAAAATTCTGCCATCTAATGTTAATTCTATGGTAGAAAACAACGTAGTTTTCTTTATTCCTTGTAACGAGAATATTCGTCTTTTTATAACTTAATATGCAGAGCTGGGCAGCGCTACTTTGAAATGTAGCAGGCGCTACCGCTACCGCTACAATTGCTTAAATGTAGCGCCGCTACCGCTACTGAAAATGTAGCGGCCGTTACATGTAGCGCGCTACTGCCCACCTCTGGTAACATCTAACATGTTGACACTATAGTAACAGGCTGAGGTTGACAACATTACACCGAAATCTTTCGTAAAATTTTATTCAGTAATTTATATTATGTATGTATCATGATGGTTTTTAAATAATATTTAATACTATTATTTAAATCTAAAGGCTTTATCTATAAATGTAGCGGTAGAGCTGTAGCGGCAAAACCTCGTATGGCTACTTAAATATGTAGCGGGCGCTACCGCTACCGCTACAATTGCTTGAATGTAGCGCCGCTACCGCTACATGTAGCGCGCTACTGCCCACCTCTGGATATTGAGGTATTTGATACTCGCAGAAATTAGATACTTAAATAAGAAATTGTACATACAATTTCTCAATGAATTCTCTACAAAGCCTCAATGATCAGTTCAGGAGAAGGGAGACTCGGAGACGCTCCTGGTGCAAGGCAGCGGCCCCGCCATCAGACAGAGGTGCCTTCAACGAGCCTCAATGATCAGTTCAGGAGGAGGGAGACTCGGAGACGCTCCTGGTGCAGGTTAGCGACAGAGCAGCATTTTCGAGTGCAGTGACAACTGGTGCGGTTGCAGTGACAATTGACCCGGGGACTGGGATGCGGGTGTCTTCAATAATTCACTAATTGAAGTCATAATGTTTTCAGAATTTCGGTCAATTGTTAGTTTTAAATTAATAAAGTTCGAAGAATAAAATTTGCATGAATTAGTCTCAAATTCTCATTTCTTCACATAAATGTTTACAAAACCATGACTTTTGTAAGGATTGAAGTTAAAGCGACCCGATTGCGTATTCATAATTTTTTACAATTTCGTTTCATTTACGATGAATTTCATCCATCAATAACTAAACAATTTTCATACATAAATAAATACCTTCATTAGAATTCAAGAAGAACCAAGCCCCTCAGGTGCCCTAAAGTTGAGGGCACTTCAACTTGAGGTCATCACCGCCGTGCCTGCAACATCAAGTTGAGGGCAGCTTTACCGCGTGGTGAAATTCGTACGAAGAGCCATGCAATAAATTCTTCTACTCACCTCAAACTGTGAAAGCTGACTCTCACACTCTGGTAGTAAATCAAATTTCCTGAAGTAAAGGAAAATGAACAACAAATATAAATGTTTAGTTAAGGAGTGGCCCATGAAGATGATTAATTTGCCTCTATTTTGTCCGGTGTTGTGTAGAGACTCCAGTTGTAGTGACTCGTATTCATAACTCGCACTATCATATCTTGTCAATGTCGTAGTTAATATTTTAAACATTCAAACTCATTATCATCAACCTTCGTAGCTATATGTAACTTAATTATTTTGAACTCGACTGTTTATATCGTATTTCATCATTTAACTATTAAATAACTATAAAATATTCGGTCCTTAAATCTTGTCAATTCTTGCGCACGGACGACACTCTTGTAATTTCTGAATGATTGAAATTCAGTATACGACGAAATTACTTTTTATTTTCAAAATCGTACCATCAATTATTGTCAGTTCGTTTTAGACCACGCTAGCGGGTAAACATAAGCCAATCGCGTGTTAGAGTCATTTTCTGAACGACTTACTGGGGTGAATATCTGCTAAGCGGTTAAGACGCTAAGTTCTACACTACAATTCAATTCTTGTAAAGCAATAAAATATTTCAGTGTAACTGTCATAATTGAATCATCATTTATATTTTCTGAATTCTTTTGATATTGTTATCCCATTGTGTTCATGTCTGTATTCTAATAAGCTTCCAACACGGACAGGTGTTGACCGGCAGATTCTTTCTTCAGCCCGACTTTCTTCAATAAATAACTGAAACTTAAGATCCTTCACTCCAACCTTCGGGATATAGTTGCATCAATTAATAAACCTTACCCAATCCAGCAATCACCAAAACCACCCTCTTCTGCACAGTGCACTTGATAGCCGTGACGGCAGCTAAGAGTCCAATACTTTGCGACGACATCCCCGATCTGTCAGTGTTATCTCCCATCAAAGCGATCGCCTCCTAAATGGGGTGTGACGTCGTTCATCACTCGTCCGATTCAACGCACAAAGTTGTCCTATCCTTATCTATTCTTTCCTAAAATCTTTACTCTCTTTGGCGTGCACTCAACAAGTGCGTGGAAATAGCGCAAAGATCAACGACATTATCATTCAGGGAATGCAACAACATTATGCCCTCAAACGGTTCCCGCGTTTACCGCTCAGCCAACGCCACCGTCACCGCTGACGCTGACCGCGCCAGTGTTGCCAGATGGGCCTTTTTCAGGCCAAATTTCGCAAATGTGGCCTTTTTTGAAAGGCATTGGCCTGAAAAATTTCATTTGGCCTTTTTGTCCGTTTTGGGCCTTTTTTATGAAAAATTTAACTCTCGGTTTTTTTTTTATGATAATTTGGTCCTTCAATTTTATCCAAGACGAGTGCACCCAAATTCATTTTTGCCCAAGACGAGTACACTCAAATTTTGACACGAAACTGTGTCAACACTTCGGTTTAGGTGGCAACACTAGCGAGTGCCGCCTAATCTGGGCAACACTTTGGTTGAACCATGGGACTTTATCCAATTACCGACTCTTATTAATTAGGAACCATGGACGGCAGAGCTGACAGAGCGTATAATCGAGTATAGTTTTCACTTCTAAAGAGCAGTACATTCAGCACTATTTTTTTGAGGTTACAGCACAGCTTCTCGATATATTCAGCCTTCTGGTGTGAGTCACTTCAAGATATCACTTTGAACAAATAAATTTTATTTCCTATGCAAGTAATGATAGGCAATATATTATTTTCCTGCGCATTCGAAAGTTGTGATACATTTATAGGATTGACTTTTAATATTTAGATTAGTCTTGCAAGGACCACATCATCTCTATACCGCAGAAATGAGTTTAAATTTTTTCATCTTCCGAGTATAAATATTCTACCGTCAATGCCAACATGTCAAAAACTTCGCCACATGGGTCGCCTGCCGAAGACCACTACTGCCCTGGATGTAATGGACCATCATGATTCCAGCCTTCCGGAACGTAGCCTTCATCACTTCAAGCCGTCCGTATCTAGGCCGTGGGTCGAATCAGCCCTCGGTCGAACGGCCACTTGTCGAAGGACGATAAATTTTGGAACAGAACTATGCTATCTGAAACCTAACCTCAGATGCGGTGAACGTAAAATTACGTAATTTATCGATGCCCGGAAGTCAGATTCGATCCGCGGCCTGGTGGTGCATGGCAGGTTCTATGCGAGGCCGGAGGAAGACAAAGCCGAGTGGTTCACGGCTGATTGGTGGATGTCCGGAGATATCCAAGGCGTTCGATTCAGGGCTCATTGGTGCACAAAATTGATGGTGCACGGCTTCGCTCCCCGCGACATCTCTCATGTCGCCTACCACTTTACTATCTATTTTGTTAGCAAAATAGCAAAACTGAGCCCAAACTCTCTAACGCGGACGAAAAGCTTTATGGTTGTTAGGTGGCAATTGAATCCTCCACATCATGTATTATACGGCTTTATTTACGGTCGGCGAGTAACGTGCGATTCGCTGCAGGCTGGCGGCTTATGTGGCATTGACGGTAATTTAGCTCATACTGTGATGAAATTGGTGTATTTTTGCTGTCTGAAAGCCTTGAGAGTAAATGCATGCACTGCAAATGGTTAGAACTACCTTAAATTTAAAAATTTTCTATTAATTTCAAATGGGGCCTTTTTGGGCCTTTTTTGTGAGTCAAATTGGCCTTTTTCTCTTGGCTCCATCTGGCAACCCTGGACCGCGCCCGGCGCCAGTGTCATAATAGAGCTTGAGTGAGTGGGGTGTGGCAGCTCACGCACGCCCGCCCGCAGAGTGTTACCTTAATATGTTGCTAGGCCTACTGTATCTCTCTATCGTTCGTTAATGTGTGTGATTCCAAGTTCACGTCGTTGAGTGAATATTAAAGTTATCTTTGTGAGTAACGCTGCGCCTAAATATTGTTGGCAGCCATTATTACGAACATTTGCTCATAGGCTCTGAGCCATGTAGCAAAGACGCTGTTCCGTTTTCTTCGACTCAATTCTAGAGAAAAGTTTTAAGGGATACTACTTTGTTCTCCGCTTACAGCCTCATCAAGCCTACTGCCGACGTGCGTTTCTCGTAGTCTCCTTCAATTTAAAGCACATTAGGTAATTTTAAGATATTTTCTTCTAAACGTAATCTCTAATCTCACGATTTCAGGTAGCGTAATTGTATTTGAAGCCCAACCGAAGCCGTTGGCACCATAATCGTAATCAAAGCCCAACCAAGCGTTGGCACCATAATCGTAATCAAAGCCCAACCCAGCGCTTGTACATGCCAGCATAAGCAAGAAAACGTCATTAATAGTCTCTTCTTCTTGCCTGCCAAAACCACCTTGTGTAAATAACAAATTAAATACCGCGTCCATGCTGACATAAACAATCACTGGCATGCCAGTTGGAATCTTGTTATAGAGTAGTCAATTACTAATGTTTATTTACAACGTTTATTAATTAATTATAAACAATGAGAGTTCAGCCCCTTCTTTAGTGTAAGTTTCATGTATGTCTTTCTTGACCTATTAGTATTAACTAATATTAAATATTATTTCCAGCTTACGTCACTCGAGAATCTGAAATAAACGGAAGAAAATCATCGTCTATTTTATTCCTCCCGTAGAGCCTCCACATCCGTGTTATGGGGGTCGTACAAGTTTTCTTCTTGGCCGCCGCCATCTTGCCGGTAAGTTATTAAAGCACGTAATTCATTTCAATATTATTTCCTATCATCTAAGCATGTGAAGACGTCATTGAATAACTCACACGAGTTTGTTAATAGTGAAGACGTGTAATTTAGTACCATATTAATACTATGATCAAATTACTTATGGAAATCGCTGAACATATTTCAACTACAATAATGTAAACAAATGAACATGTTTCTTGTGTGTGCTCATGAATTTTGATTCGTTATAGTTTCATGAATTTCTGCAGTAAACTTGTGTATTGACGGCGGCTCAATGCGCATAAGAGCCTCTCGCTCTGCTCCTGAGTTGACGCAAATATGCGCCCAACGACGACTTTCAGTTGAGAAAAAAACATCTCCTTTGCAGTGCTGTCATTATGATCAGAAATTGTTCATTGAATATCAAGCACTTTGGTAATAATTCGAGAAATATTTTTCTGACATACATACGAGAGAAAAATGCAGTAATAGAAATGGAATGGGTGGAATTTTACCTTCATTATTATGAGAACATCCGATTCCTGTGTAGTCTTCATGCTTACCTATTCATGAACACAGCTGGCCGTAAGATGTTGAATTTTTTTCACTCAATCTTCTTTTTTAGTTATCATGGGAATCAAATCGANACAATATTCTGCCACCGCCATGCACGCAACATCAAAACAATATTCTGTCACCGCCATGCACTCAACATCAAAACAATATTCTGTTACCGCTATGCACGAAACATCAAAACAGTATTCTGCCACCGTCATGGGCGCAACATCAAAACAATATTATGTCTCCGCCATGCACGCAACATCAAAGCAGTTATCTGTCGCCGCCATGCACGCAACATCAAAACAATATTCTATTTCCGTCATGCTCCTCCGTATGCGTGATTTGCTGGTTCCCTGGGCAATTTTAACCCCTCATTTCACGAATTGTGTTGCTCCCTCATAACACAAACCTGTTGATGTTCTCTCATAATTATATTGCGGTCATCTCGGAACATTCAATAGACTGCAAAATGAAACTCTAGTAGCGCGTCAGCAATCCCTAAACTGACTTAAAAAACTACTTGTTTCCATAATTGGGTTTCAAAAAAGTAATTGAACGCTACTAGACGTTTTACAGATTGTGTCCTCGCTGAATGTGTCTTTCCGCTTTCCTAACAATCTCATGTAGGTACTATTGATTGTGTCCCCGCTTAATTTCATGCCGCTCTCCTACCAATTTCTTGTGCTGCTGATTGTGTCCTCGCTGAACTCCGTGCCGCCGTCCCACCAATCTCTTGTACTGCTGATTGTGTCCTCGCTGAACCCCATGCCGCCGTCCTAACAATCTCTTGTACCGCTGATTGCTCTCCCACTAAACTCAGGGTCGCCGTCATAACAAACACGCATAATACATCAGGATCTTGCAGTATACATGCGCAGGAGACAAGCGATACTCTGGCAGGCTTGCATGTGGCCGGGACAGAGGCCCAGTGTTGCCTCTCCCTTGACAACAGCGCCATAGTTGATCGCTTTAGCAGTGACCTCGTTGAGTGTCTTGTAAATGAACGCCTTCAAGCACCCCAGCCTCGCCTGGCATGCGCAATATCGACGTGTATTTTAGTGATCAGAGATACAAGCTTCAACTCGTCCGTTGGATTGCAACTGTTCTGAAAACAAAATGTGAAAATTGAATTGGGCACATAGTTTGTAAGTGAAATAAGTTATAAACAATATTGAAGATAATATTCAAAAAGAAACAAATATCAAAAATTAATAACCTACCGAATTACGGTATAATCTATGATGAATTCTGGCCATAGAATGAATTTGCGTACGCTCTGTAGCCCTGGGTCTGCATAAAGGGTCCAGATTGACGCACCACCGCCACGCAATATAGAATAGAATAGAAGTGTTGACACTGAAAAAATAGGCCCATGGCCAGTTGCCGATTCATGAATTTTTCGCGACTTGATTCACAAGGGATCCGACCTTTGGAACCCGATCTTTCCATAACTGACGATTGATTGAGATAGCTGCTGGACTTATTGCCTGGTCCGTAATTTGCTAGGCATTTTAAGACTGAGCATATGCTCCTGCATAGCTTCGTCTAGTCTGTTTTTGAAGGCGTTCATACTCGGAGCGTCAATTATGCTATCAGGAAGGCTGTATGCACCACTGATGTACCAATGACGCACCCCCGTCGCGCAGTATGCACCACTGATGTACCAATGACGCACCCCCGTCGCGCAGTATGCACCGCTGATGTACCAATGACGCACCTTATCTTCTGAGGTTTATTAAGCGTTCAATATCACCGTCGCGTGCTCTATGCTCTATGAAGTGTCTTCTATCTTCTTTCTTTATCTTCTGAGGTTTGTTAAGCGCTTAGCAGGAGATTTCAATGACGATCAAATTCTGGCTGGATCTGATTCCTGCAGCGTAAGAATACGTTATTTTCTCGTAGCGTATAGTCATCTTTATATAATACTTGCGTTTCTGGATAATTAATAGTCGCCAATTAATTTAAGCAAATCCCACGAATGATACATGGATATCTTCTGCACCGGTCGTTGAAAAATCCTTCTACATATGTTGTGTTCTACTTAATTTAGAAGCTTATTCTTAATTCTCTTCAACTAATTTTTGTTTTACATGAACACGTTCACAGAATGCTTCATAAATAATAAATTAATAAATTAATCGAATGAAATAAATAAAATTAATTTAATTAAATTAACTTCCATATTATTTGTACAGGTCCTGACGCTGGCCGGCAGTGAAGTGGTCACAAATACCTACGTTGATGGCCGGACTGTGAGTATTGCAAAGCAACTAGGAGAGGTTACTTTATGCCACTTACCTTCCTTTTAATAATCACAGTGTTTAGAGTTTAATTCAATTTCTTTCACATTATCCTTGAAATTATTTGCATTATCAGCCGCGTGAGATATCTATTGGTTGGCATTGATTTTCATTTTCATGGCATTCGTCATATGAAGAAATTTGGTGCAAAAATATTTGATAGGAAAAATACTTGGCACGAGTCATATTATGTCATTATTTAGGCTTCAAACTTGAGATGATCCAGTAGAATTTGTTAAGTATAATATAAATTTGTAGCGTTCCATCGGTAAGAATTTAAACCTTGTTCATAAAAACAATTATTTTCGAGTTAAGAGCAAGGTTATAAAAGAGCAGTTAGAGTGCCGCCTATTCTAACTGGTCATCAGCAGTCCAACTCGTCCTCAGGGTGTGGTGGTGATGCCTGGGCTGGCGTCTCAGGCCTCCGACCCTCCGATGCAAGGCGTGCACATGAGGCTCAGCTCTTCTTCTTCAGCTCGTCCACCGAGATCTGACATTCAACGCCCGTCTTCCTCATCAGTAAATACTCTTCCATCAAGTATGGCGACAACCTCTTCTTCCAGTGCAAGTAACTCTCTTTTGATGCAAGCAAATTCAAACAGAAACCACCAGCCTCTCTATCACTTTTTGAAGGAAAAGAATAAAAAAATTCTATCAGAACCCCCAGAAGCTGCATTTGGGAACTATCCTGCCAGTCGAATGGTTATGAAAAATCGGTTCACTTCCATTGAGCTTATAGGAAGACGTTATCGTCGTAATACTTTCCAATCAACATCTGGAAACAACAGTGAGATAATCAAGACTTATCAACTTTTAGATGAAGGGGAGGAGAAAATCCAGTTATGTGAACGATGTAAGAATATAACCTTAGTGTTAGGTAATACTGGGGCCGGCAAGAGTACGTTTCTTCAGTGGTTCGCTGGGGACAACGACAAGTTGCTAGCGAAAAGAGAATTTGGGACAAGTGGACCGTACCTCATTGAGGATGAAAATAGAATTGGAAACACAACTTTAAACTCGATGACAATTTTCCCAGAGTTAGTAATTCACCATGAAACAGATGATGCGTACTATGATTGCCCTGGATTTAGTGATACTAGGAGCACCAGTATGGAAATAGCAACAACCTACTTCATTAAAAAAGTGGCCGATTATGCTGAGCATCTTAAATTGATTTTTGTTGTTAATCATTCATCGGTTAGAAGAGGAGTAGACAGACAAGATTTCGTAAAATTACTTAGACATGTTGCAGATTTCATGACGGACATTAATAAATATCGAGGAAGTATTGCAATTATGGTGACAAAAATTGATCCTCATTATGAAGAAGTAAACGGGATCCCAATTTTAGATTCAGATGAGCTCGTTATAAGAGCCATAGCTCATTTTCTAGAGGAGGTTAAGCAGTGGTTGAGGGAGCGATTAGCCGGTGCAGGAGATTCTGGTAAAGACAAACAATTTCATGAGCAAGCAATGAAGTTTGTGGAAATTTTGCTAATTATGAAAGATGGACATTATTCGAGAATCGGCATATTTAGGAGGCCAAATAAGCCAGGACCTCTGAGTAATATAATGCTTTTACAAGAGGGAAAGAAGCATGTACAGAGGATAGTGAATGAAAACCTTGCATTCACGGCAACCAGTGATAGTGATTTCGGGTATACCATATCTGATACGTCCAAGGTTGCTGTAGATGCTCTGGCAGAAGGAATCAACGACAATATATCATCTAATCTACGCATTATCTCAGAAACCATGCTGAAATATTACAGACATTTATTAGAAGACATGTGTACCAAGATACGATCTTTTACTAACACTACTGGGGCTGTTGATGCAAATCCATCTGACGCTCGGATGTTTAATGACACTTTCAATGCTGGGATTAACCGTACGACAAAACTTATTGAAGAAGCTGTTAATATAACAACAGACCAGTTGGGGCGGAAGATTAACGAGAGCTTTAATACCCTCTGTATTGATGGGTGTGCTGAGGCTATGCAAAGTATTTCGCAACAGGGTAAATATTTTTCATTTTTGCAGGTAGTGAGTGACAGCGCGTTAGGTTCTAGGACTTGGGGTGACTTGTTGCAACCCTTTGCATCCTATCTCTCCTACTCAAGACACGATATTCAGCGCGATATTAACGATGTCGCAGAAGAAATCAATGATCAAATGCGAACTAATATATCTAATATCGCAGTAAAAATTAAGGAATATTACCAAAGTAAAATGCGTTCCGTTATAATTCAGCAATTACCAGCTGAAATGAACTTTGGACATGCTTTCATCATGAACATGACGGAAAAGATGAAACATTCAAATAAAACACAAGATTTATCAAGACAAATTACAAGGGCTATTTCAGATTTAGATACCTCCAAAATCAGCCGCAACACCAACAATGTTTTTCGGCATGGAAAGTACTTAACATTTTTACAAATTATAAGCAATAAAACGCTAGATACCCCATCACCATCTCAATTAATAACTCCACTCAATGAAACAGCAACGTATCTCAGGGAATCACAAGGATGGTACGAATTCTTAATCAATTTGAATGAAAAGTTATCTACATATGACGTACAGAAAAATAGAATGAAATACAACGTGGCCAACATTGCGGACTGGGGACATGATGGTAAACAGCAGGGAATATCAATAACTCGACATAACTTCAGACAATTTATGGAAAATATAGTCCTATTTGATGTGATGGGATATAATAAGGTACAAAATATAGAAGCTGATGATATACGCGTGGAGGACTTGAGACAAGTGGCTCGTTTGACTTTGAACAAATTCCATGCCTCATGTCAATCAAATAAACTCACAATCAAAGGAGGTTACATAAGACTTAGTGAAGCAATATTGGAAATTGTGAATTGCGAGGGCAACACCATTGAAATATTTGCTCTGAACAAAATATTTATTGACGAAAATTTAAATAAAACAGGGGAAAAGCTCAAACTTACCATAATAGCCCCGACATGGGAGGTAATAGGTAGTAGAGTAATAAACTTGAGTGGGGCTGACGGTCAGCTGCATAATCCCCCCAAGGCAACGAATTACTGGGGGAATTACAGTCCTCGTGGAGCTGACGGTATGCCAGGCTTTCACGGTGGGCCAGCTGGGAGTTTTTTTGGCATTGGCACAACATTTAATAATGGGAATATGTTAAATGTTATTGCTAGTGGCGGAAATGGTGGAATTGGTCAGCATGGCGGTGATGGTGCAAACGGTCGTGAAGGAGATTCTCCCGTAAACAGATTTTGGAACTCAAAGTCAGCATATACCTGCAAGAATGTCTGTAATAACGGTCGATTTGCCGGTGGTTACGACTGTATCGTAGGAAGCCAGGTAGAGTTTTTCATAGTTGTTTGTCACGATCGAATGTACACAATTCGCATTGAAGGTGAAGATGGCACAATTGGTGGAGATGGTGGGGATGGAGGACCAAAAGGACTCGGGGGTAAAGCAGGTGATATCAAGATAGTTACGTTGGGTGGTGATACAGGAATATCAAGTACTAATAATGATGGAAGAGATGGGATATCAGGCAGAGGTGGTCAAGGAGGAGCTGGCGGAAAGCGCGGGAATTCCCTAAAAGTAAAGTGCAAAGCCTCTTACTGTTTTTTCATTCCAACTTACAATTTCCATAGCGAAGATATCATATTTGGGGGATACAATCTTCCTGGAAGAAATGGAATGGATGGAGATAGTCGGGCGAATATTGAAAACATAGAACCAGCAGCCATCATTGATTATAAAGCTGAGATTATCAACGATTATAAAGGTTATGTGAGAGAAAACCTCCAAGTTGATCGTGGTGGCCTCATAAGGAAAAATGATCTTATCAAATTTTTCAGTGAATTGGACATTAGTGGTGATGTTAAACGCTTGTATGATACATCAGGACTAGTAGGGGAGCTGCGAGGCTTAGAAAGACAGTCTAATCTATTACAAGAGAAAGATTCTGTATTCTTTTATGAATCATTATTAGATAGGATCAATGCATTTGCAAATGATTTTAAAGCTCAAGAAAGATCGAAAGAACATAATAAGACGCTCGGCTATATGTATACAGCTGTTTTGGGCAAACTTTATGATTTGAAAAGTGATTCAGACGCAACTTTGGTGATCGATATAAAAGGATATTTTGATATATTAACGTCTAATATGAACGCCTTGGGAAAATTACAAGAAAAATATAAAATGGTGAGCGTAATAAACAATTTTAGGGATCAATATAAAGACAGTCTCGACAAAAAAATGGAAGAATCTCAACGTTTCATCGAAGAAGAGATTACACCTGCCATAGATCAAATACACGAGCAAATATATGATAAAATGGACAAGCTACTGTCAGTAATTAAAGAACTCCAAAAAGAGGCTGACAACAAAAGGGTTGAGTTACTCAAGAAGACGAAGGAATTAGAACATGCATTAGTTCTTTCTGATTTGTTTGGTAATTTAAAAAGTGTATGGCAAGTAGCTAATATGTTGGGACCTGTTGGAGAGACATTGAAGGGGCTCGTAGGAGCCTTGACTTCGGTGCCGGACTCTTTCGTATCAGGCGCTCAGACCGCGGGACAACAATCACCATCATTGCCTTTAGGTATTATGGCTGACCTACGGCTTTTGAAAGCTCAAGTCAAAAGTATCAAGGACAAACAAATGACGAAGAACCATCGAATAATAGATTACATTGATCATGAAATCACTTCAAATGTATTGCTGAATGATATACGAGAAAGTCTACATAAAATTAAAACGGGTCAATTTCCAATTCATGATGCTGATGGAGCACCAAATCTCAAACAGTTTTCAGAGGAGCTTACGGTCAAAATCAAGAAATTGCTAATAACAAAAGAAAACGAGTTGAGGACTAACACAGCTATTGATGACGAAAGTGTCACGCAGGCATTAGATGCCATAGCTAAAGTTCGTCAGTTGATCCAGATTAGTGAAGTGAGCGCTGATACGTATGTCAACAACAAGGATGATCAGGCGAAACTTGATGCGCTGAGTAACGCTATCCAACAGGCAGAAGAAGAGCACCAGAGACTTAAGCAATATGAAAATAAAATTGAAAGTGCATTAGCACCCACCTTAGAAAATATGGAAGAAGATCTCAAAGAAATAGAGAGTAAGCTGGTTACAAAATCTCAAGTTGCGCTTGACGTAAACAAATGGCAGGTTCAGAGCGTGCTCAGAGACATGAAATTATCCGTGCGTCAGTTAACTAAAGAGTTCCAATTAGGAGAAGATTTGACGCGTTGTATTGAAAAGTTGGAAGAATCTATGACCACCTTAATCGGTATTTACGATCGCATGCAAGACTGCCAAGAACAACAAAACTTAGCTAACTATATTGCAGCCGTCGCCGCTTACCATGGTCCTGATGATGTTGATCAAGTTGAATTAGAAATACTCATCAGATCTAACCTTATACTAACGCAATACAAAACAGCTGTTAATGCATTCAAGCAGTGGGTATTTCCATTTGCTGGTCTTTATCTGGAAAGGATTATGTCGCCATCCCATCTTGCGATTAATAATGGCAATATTGAGGATTTAGCTACAAAGGCTGTAGAACAAATAGAATATATAAGAGCACGAGTAGACGAATATATGACAGCTATTCAGCGTCATGATCAACATATACACGAAGGATTATTTGACAGCCATCACGATTCTTCCCATCCGTTTTTCGTATGGAGAAATGAGGACCACAAAGAGGAGATAAGCAAGCTATTGTCAGGCGAGGCAATAGTCGTAAAAGCTGACATAAGAGGCAGTGCACCAGACAAAGATGCCATTAAGTTCAATTTATTGGAACTGAACCTCAAAGTAACTAATGCGACCAGGCAGCGGGAGCTAAACGATAAACTTAAAAGTTTTAAGGTAAGCGCCACCCACTTTGGTAATTCATATTATAGGTATGATGATAAGTTATATGCTATAGGCAGTCATAGCGAAAACATCGAATATTCATTTGAAAAAGACGTTATTGGTGTACCAATACATAGAAATCAGGTGTATAATAAAATCAAAGCAGGTGATTTCATGCTTAGTCCATATGCCATGTGGAGAATTCAGTTAAAACAACTCAAACATTCGATTCCTTTCAATCAGTTAGCACTATATAAAGATGAAGCTGACTTGGAGTTAGTAGGTAGCGGTTGGTATGTTACCAGTAGCGCTGGCATGCCAAACCTGAATGTCGAGAAGTACCATAGAGCAGGTACCATAAGTACCATGCTATGTTGTTCGTTGACTATGATATGCATGATGGATACGAACTCTTCGAACTATAGACGATACTGTCACATAAACTTTCACATTTTGAAGGTAAAAGATTATTTGAAACATGACATCAGATAAGGATAAATAGGAACATTGCGCAACTTTACAAGGCGAAACTGGTCCTGTGCTCTTTATTCAAAGCCCAGTAGACATGTGGTAGAACATACATGGTTGAAAGCCTGACAGAGCAGTTATCCGAAAAGGCTTGGCAGCAATATTTGTAACACACTCAGAATAATAGGAAGACAATGTCTAAATAACGATGCACTTCATAAACTTGAGTGCAAGGACAAGTATTTTATTATTTGTAGAATATGACCCATTTATTTTTCTGAATTCACGCAAGAATTCAAGCTCGTAGATAACTTGGCAAGTTTTGCAAGCTTGACAAGTTTAAGCTCAGAAGTGTATATTTGTGAGCTCAGAAGTGTAGTAGCGAAGCCTTAACGATTGACGATTCCTGATAGTTTGCTTTATGATTTTACCCGACTCCGTCGTGCCAGTATAAATAAATATCAGGTGGGCCAGGCCAGTGCAGCAATTTGTAGTGATCCGAGTACCGCGCGAGCCAGGCTAGGGCACCAACTTGTAATGACCCGAGTACCGCGCGAGCCAGGTTAGGGCAGCAACTTGTAGTGATCCGAGTACCTCGCTAGCCAGGCTAGGGCTGCAACTTGTAATGACCCGAGTACCGTGCGAGCCAGGCTAGGGCTGCAACTTGTAATGACCCGAGTACCGCGCGAGCCAGGCTAGGGCTGTAACTTGTAATGACCCGAGTACCGCGCGAGCCAGGCTAGGGCAGCAACTTGTATTGACCCGAGTACCGCGCGAGCCAGGCTAGGGCTGCAACTTGTAATGACCCGAGTACCGCGCGAGCCAGGCTAGGGCAGCAACTTGTTACGACCCGAGTACCGCGTGAGCCAGGCTAGGGCAGCAACTTGTAATGACCCGAGTACCGCGCGAGCCAGGTTAGGGCAGCAACTTGTAGTGGCCCGAGTACCACGCGAGCCAGGCTAGGGCTGCAACTTGTAATGACCCGAGTACCGCGCGAGCCAGGCTAGGGCTGCAACTTGTAGTGATCCGAGTACCGCGCGAGCCAGGCCAGGGTAAAAACTTTCAGTGACCCGAGTACAGTGCGGGCCAGCCTAGGGCAGCAAATCATCAATTGATGAACGGATTTTATTTCGAGGTGATATCTACAACTGGTGAGTGTTGCAAAGGTCGCACTGATTGATGGATTTCAAGCGATTAGCATAATTTATTGCTTAATATTAATTGTAAAAGATAGTCTCCGGCAGTCGTGTGTAAAGATAGATGATATTCTAGCTTTATTTTAACTTGGTTATTGTTAAATATGTATTCATTTATGAATGTAACGAATTGTGTCCGTGTGGTTAAAAGTTTAAGCTATACCTTAAGCTGTTGTTAAGATATTTTTTCAATATACTAAGTTGGATCGTTGTACGTTTGCGGCTGCGGCATTGCGTTATCATATAATGACTAGTTGAGAGCACTAGGTGAATACAATATCGAGATTTCTCCTTCATTTCATCATTATGTACAGATTAACTGAAATAGAGCGTGTGATTTTAAGAGGCAATATTATTATAATATTAATAAACTTTCCTCTTGTGGCGATACATCTGAATATTATGAACGTGTTAATAATAGTGGTGTAATGTTCAATAGAGGATAATTTAATAAGCTGCAGACCAATGAAGATCTCCTGCTTTATTTTGGCTTTGATGGAGGCTACGAAGACGGAAAACATCTGTCGTGACTTGGTCGTAAGGAACATTCATTTCTATATCAATGTGGCTGATGTTATGAAGTAGATGTAACCTTACATATATTTGTCAAAATTTTTGTGCCTGTTCCAACTTGATGATTGGCCCCACATAATTAATATATGGGCGCGTATCCACGCTACTAATCGTGTCGGGATATTGCCAGAAGCTTGTTGGAGTAAGGCATTGCGAAACTTTGAGGAACTGATTGGATCAAATTGAAATTTGATTTTTGAACTAATATATCTTAATTTAATTTCACAAGAAAGATTTTTTCACAATTTGAAGTGGGAGTCGAGTGCGAGTTCTATGTTCTAAGCAGTTAAACCAAACAACGTTGTGACGCTCTGGATTTGTCAGCCTATATAGGAATAGCATGGATACTTGAACAAAAAACTTGTGTAAAAGGGTTGTTATTGTTAAAATGTAACTTCTTGTCAATACCATTGATATTCAATTGCGCATGCTGATCGAATTGGTCTACCGGAGGCTCACGAATATGCCTTCGCGGCTTGTCTGATGGTTCTCTAGATTAATGGTTGTTGTAATAAAGGGTGCTCCCAAATTGTTTCAATTGCTACTTATTCTATTCAAATTTTAGACTTTTGTTACCACAATAACGAAATTTGATTGATGTTTCTTCCTATACACAATGCTATCAGGGTAGTGTTGTAAGAAAAAATATATTATTCATTAAACTTGTTCGATGTAGATTATCTTGCAGTGTTTGCAATTATACGTTGGTTTTTATACCCGAAATATTTTTATATAGACATGTTTTTCAATGTGATGATTATGACTTGTGATTATGATGCACCGTGATGTTTTATTTCTTTAAAATATTACAATGTATCCTTCATATGATCTATTAAATTTACAATGGAATGGGTTCAAGGAACACGACCGATATGAGGCCCTGAAGCAAATAATTTGAATATTCGCAATAGATGGATAAGTTTTTCACGTTGATTTAAATTTAAATTAGTTCTTCCGATTGCAAACGATGGCCGTTGATAGCCTTAAGAATATAATTGGTTTGAGTGGCTTGCGTGGACGGCGCTGAGTTGACAATTTACAAGTCCTGACAACGGCAAGTCACGGAGTGTTCATTCAACGGTGGACGCATATTGTCTATAGGAAGACTTGATTCTTAAAAAGATACAGACCAAGCAGTGGACAGCAGGCACGATCGTGCTGTAATGAACCTCCTATGAACTCCAGAGGAGTAATCGGCCTAAGCTCGTAGGCCTCGATACTAAATTTACCGACGGTAAATATGGTAAACCTTGTAATATAAGTAAAATATACCTTGACGGATCCATTGCATTTGAAATAAAGTTTAAATTTAGCATGTTTTTCATCTTTTAATTAACCCAGCAGAGCCCATACCTTACAAAACTTCTAAGAACCATTTCATTCTCTTTATCCTGGAGTTCACATTAACTTCTTTTATTCTTCGTTTCAATAATTCCTAACATCCTGAAATTTTTTACACTGTTTGCTCATCATTTAACCTCTTTCCTCTTTACAGAGCAATAAAAATTTCAAATTATACATAAAAATATCTCTAGGGATTTTTGTGCACAGGCTCAGTAGTTCACGTTTATTGGAGTTTCGGTTGATCGGATTACTTCCAAGTTGACATCTGCATTCTCGCAAACAAGTAACACATGTATTCTGCAATATAAAAGACAGATCAGGCTAAATTTTTATTTTCACAAACAATATCCAGCATGCAACAAGCCAAAGAGAATTAGTATTTAATTGACTGAGGGAATCTGTATACATGTTCATATTCAGTATTTGACATGTTCGTAAAATCATCTACGTCCAAATGAGTGAATTAATATATTGTTTAGTTTCAAAACTGTTGTCTATTCGCCGTCACATTTAATTTCATTCAAATCATGTATTTTATTGATTTTATTTGTGTTTTTTGTATGTTTTAATTTGATAGTCAAATAAAGCTTACAACAGTGTTTGTTTCCATTTTTACCAGTTTACGTAGTTAGATTTGGTTCTTGGCTGTCATTAAACGATGAAAATCATGCAAGAGAAACCTATCGATAATTTATGAAATTTCTTATGATAGCTTCTTGTAAACCACTCGCATGCTCGTCTGATCATTTCCTTCAAGGCTTACTATTGACAAAAATGTATTTGATTTTTTACACCACCTCGATGGTATATCTGTTTACACCACCAGGATGATATATAAATTCAAGCAGATTTTCCTCAAGCATCAGTAGGTGTTATGAGCTGCACGCTTCATGTGTTCCAAGATAATCCTGAGAAATTCTCAATTTTATTAAGGGCTGATTACCTGACCGTCAATTTCCCGTCGAATATTATTTACCAGTATTTTTGACTGAGTAGATTTCATAATGGTCATCGGAACGATGGAATTCATCATTTATGTCTAATCTTTTAGATGGATGACATCTAACAACAGCAGGCGATTTCTCTACAGGTTTATATTTATCGAACTGGCAGTAATTATAAATTAACACGTTGACTTCGAAGTGCGTACCATGAAGTGTACTTTTCCAGGACGTAGTGGAACATAATTAGAACATAGTCCGCGTAGTTGAACAAAAACAACTACGCAAACAAAAAAAAAAAATACCTAAAAAAATACTTAAAAAAAACTTTTTAAAAAAACACGTTTTTCTTGTGGACTAAAAAGTAGAAAATAAAATACTTAAAAAAAACTTTTTAAAAAAACACGTTTTTCTTGTGGACTAAAAAGTAGAAAATAAATTATGGCTCGCCCCAAAAAACGTGTGTCGGGCAGATTTATGATTAAAGCGAAAAGCACACAACACACGAATTTTGGAAATTTGATGGTGAACGTACAGCCTGACCCACTTTTTTGGGGCGAGCCATAATTTATTTTCTACTTTTTAGTCCACAAGAAAAACTTGTTTTTTTTAAAAGTTTTTTTAAGTATTTTATTTTCTCCTTTTTAGTCCGTTGCTACACATGAAAAACGTTGTTGCGAGCCAATTTACTTGACGTGACGTACGTATCGATGATACGCAGCGTATCATCGATATACGCAGTCTAAACACGGATATCCTCTCGAGGATGACGTGCATTAAAGGTTCCCAACCCCTGCTTGTAAGTTCCTTTAGAGTTTATAACTACTGCACAAAGGTCAGCCATCCTACATAATATTCATTTTATTTCAGTTGGCCACGCAGATGCACGAAAGAAAATTCTTTTCGAAGTTCTGTAGAAAATTGTATTCGAGGGGATACATTGTTGTTCCCGTACTTATCTGGGTGCGTGGCTGTAATTAAGAAAGGTTCGGTAATAAATACGCCTGGAAACGTGCAACAAATTATTGATTATTGTATTGTCATCGGGAGCTGAGCTTCCCTAAAAGTTTCAGAGCGCTAGCTAGCGGGAAAGTTGGTGAAATATCGATTGCAAGATTTGATCATCACAAACAGACAGACAGACAGACGGACACGAAAGCGAGCTAAGAAAAACGTGGTGAAAAGCCAGAAAAAGCCTATACCTGAATAATATACCCGTATGTTTGTAGTTTCCGGCGTAAAAATTTCATTTCTTTTCTTTTGCAGTTTTTTTAGATTTAACACGGAAGTAACCATATCATAAATTTTAGCCGGCCAACGCAATTGAAAAAAAACTAAATCGCGAAATTTGTCCGGAAAAAAAGACAGTCTGGGAACCCGGTTCCATAATAGTACAAAAAATGAAATGATGGTACAAGATGAAGCAATCGGAGTCAACATGTTAAGTATTCATGAGAAGTACGACATAGATTAGCAGGGTGAAATTCATCCGCAGGATAAATCGATTAGCAGGAAGACACTGCATCAGCTGGATGCTATTTATCAGCAGGACGAAATTGATCAGCGGAACAGCATTTATCAGCAACGCAATTAGACGACTCCAAATTAGCACGACCTCTGGCGCTCGTTTCGTGGAACGCACATGCTCAAGGCAGATGAGACTGCGGCAAATGAAACTGCCTTCCAATATTGCGTCAAGCGATGAGTGTAGTAGACCATCAAGCAAAGAGCAATTGCGAGATATAGCATAAAATGTGTGCGTCCTTTAAAAAACTGGCGCTTGAGTGAAGTAAACACATTTGTAAACATCAAGCACTTATAAGCAAAGGAAAAGACGGAAATTTTCACTATCTTCACTATCATTTAGGCTCTAAGTCTCTTATGTATGTATCAAAATTTCCAGGTATAAATTTTTCACACGAAAAAGATTATTAGAAAAGTATATACTAAGTTAAACTTGACATGAAAACTAATTCTATCTGTCGTAACAAATTGAAAATGAGGCTGGTCGAGGTTCGAAATTTTTTACATCACCAAAAAACGAATTACCACTTTAGAAGTTTCTCCTGCCACCATTCAGGCCTAATTCTAACCAATTATATGATTAGATTTAGTTTATCTGACACAAAAAACATAAAAATTTGTTTTCTTCGTTTCTGTAATTGAACCAATTTTTTCGCATTCAACTTGCTTACAAGATGAGAAATTTCATGAAATGAAGATCTTTCCACGCATACGTTTACGTATTTTCCTTTTCATAGCAGCGTCGCGTAAGAGCTTTAGATTTTATCAAGCATGAGGGATTGCATGAATTTAGGACTCCATATAAAATGACCCGCAATTTTGTCTCTCCTGCGTGCCGGACACGGTATTTCGGTCACCATTTTAATTAATTTATGACTTGGTCATTTTCCTCTCGTTTACTATGACGCAAAACTTTTTTTTTCATAACAATGCGTATCTCTTGCTCCATTGCTTCAAATTATTACTGTATTTCCAGTTTTATTTCACGCATTAGTTTAATCAATTAATTTATTTTTCATATTTACCTCATTTAACTCTTTTTGTACTCACCCATTCATTATTGTTTTTTTACCAAAACCAAAAATCCTTTAGTAATTTTATCGCCATTTTTCAGTGATTCACGGAAACCGAAGTAGATTTATTAGAAGAGTAGAGGAGTTATTGCAGCTGACCGTATCAAGGATACAAAACGCCCTGATATACTACTTAATAAATATAATAAATCAATAGATAATTTTAAATTGAATATATAAATATAATAAATAAATATATTAGATCTCCGATAGGTTTTAAATAAAACAGCTCTGTTGAAACAGAAAAAATGCCCTAATGAGCCCCGTGAAAGAGCCACACGGAACTAATTAAATAAACTAATGTAAATACATTATAGCAAATTTAGAGGCCCTGATGGGAAACCTAAAGTACACAGGAATTCAGCATTGTGGTCGACAGTCAAATAAATTCTAATTTATGGGAGTTTAATAGATAGCGTTTCTCGCTCAATTGTATTCTACATTACGCACTCACCCTGAACGAGAAATTTTATATAAATAATGTTTTCGACATCTCTTGAATTAATACACCATTAAAGAAAAATTTATTCGGAGAGAAATTCCGGAATCACTTCCTGCTAATTGTGATATTATTTGAAAATATGCGAATTTTACATGAATGATATGCGTTTAAAAATTACTTTTTAAAGACAACACTTCTAAAGAATACAGTGTCTCCGATGTTACACATCTATATTGAATTTCTAATTTCATTTCCATGTATTAAAAAAATAATTTTCAATTTTTTTAAATATTAATATATGAAATAATTTTAATTTTCAAAATTATTTATTGTATCCATTGATTCATGCATTGTCTCCGACTTTACGCAAGTGTGCAAAATTTTAGGTCGATTGGACTGGAAGAAGTGTGTTAAATATTGATTATAAGATTTGTAGCAGACTGACAAACAAACAAGAAGTCAAGTTAAATAATATACGTTTAAAAATTACTTTTTAAAGACAACACTTCTAAAGAATCCAGTGTCTCCAATGTTAAAGATGTACAATGAATTTCTCATTTTATTTTCGAATAATAAAAATATTAATTTTTCAATTTTTTTTAATTTATAAATTTTTTTCAAAATTATTTATTCTGTCAATTGATACATGCATTGCCTCCGACTTCACACAAGTGTGCAAAATTTCAGGTCAATTGGACAGGTAAATGTGTGTCAAATATCAGTTATAAGATTTGTAGCTGACAAAATTATTTTTTTCCATTTTTAATATTGAAAAAAAAATATTTTCAAAATAATTTATTTTGTCATTTGATTCTTGCATTGCCTCCAACTTTACGCAAGTGTGCAAAATTTCAGATCGATAGGATAAGTAGAAGTGTAAAAATTTTTGATTATAAGATTTGTAGCAGACAGACAGACAAACAAACAAGAAGTGAAATTAAAGAGAAGTGTTGTAAAAGAAGTGTAGTACAATAGATATATTATTTGAGATAAAAACATGAACAAAAAAAATGTGAAATCATTTGTATTGTGGAAATGTGAAGAATTAATGTGTACAATATAGCTCTTTAAACTGTATGTTTTAATTAAGAGATTCAAATTTACTAGAAGTTTTCAGCAATAAAACCAGTTGAGTTCATAAACTCCTCATTAAATTAGGATAAATTTAAACTTGATGAGTATGAGTAAACTGATGCATTGATGAAGTGCACTAAATTATTTTAAAACTTCACGAAGAATATGAATTCACAAAGTAGTTATTGTATATATTAGTAATCAGCAATGAATTCTAAATAAACTTTTAGGGTAAGAAAGTCGCGTGCAACTCAGCCTACATTTACACCCAGAGAAATGGGCGAGAGTTCGTCCAAAAATCGATGAACTTTTTGCCCTTTTTCATGTCATCCTGACCTAGTTTGGCCCGGCAAAAGGACGTATCAGTGCTACTTCTGTTATATGACCGGGCCGTGGGTAAGAAAGCGTGTCAATATTAAAATTCAATTTTCAATAATCTATCATCATTAAATATATAATATATTGTAATATAACCCGCATTTCAATTCATAATATAGCGCATTTTCATTTAATTTTTCTCAGTGTATTATAAGGAGCAAAATTCA